AACAACAACAAGGAGAAGTATACTTTTTGTTTTTCTCTACCCACTGCATCCAAGGAAATCTCTATTCAAACACTATCTGACACAACCTAAGAAATAGAGACTTCGTTGGTCACACACATCCAGGAAAACAAGCTTTGCAAAAATAGTTAGGAGCTGTCACTAAATAAATGGACTATTGCAGCCGTTATCAATTAAAAAAAAAAAAAAGAAAGAAAAAATCAAACCCTAGGAGAAGGGAATAATCTGCTTTCCAGAGTTACCATATTATAATATTCAAATGTCCCCATTTCAACAACAGAAAAAATCACAATACATACAAAGAAACAAGAAAGTGTGTCCCACTCAAAAGAACAAAGTAACATGACAGAAACCTTCCTTACTAGAAAAAGATTAAGCTTAACTAACAAAGACTTTGAAACAACAGTATTAAACACATATGAGGCACTAAAGAAAACCACAAAGAACAAAAGGAAATCAGGAAAATGATGCATGAACAAAAACAACACTATCACAGATAGAAATTATGAAAAGGAACCAAACAGAAACACCAAAATGAAACCCAACTCCCTTGCCATCAAGTTGATTTTGAGTCATAGAGACCCTATTAGGCAGAGTGGAACCACCTGCATAGGGTTTCCAAGGCTGTAAATCTTTGCAGAAGCAGACTGCCACATCTTTCTCCTGTGCAGCAATGGGTGAGTTGCAACCACCAGCCTTTTGGTTAGCAGTTAAGTGCTTTAACCATTGTGCCACCAGGGCTCCTGAACAGAAATACAGGATCTGTAAAGTACATAACTGAAATGGTAAAATTCACTGAAAGGGTTCAACAGCAGATCTGAGTTGGCAAAAGAATGTATCAGAGAACTTAAAGATAGGACATTGAAATTATCAAGTCTTAGGGGAAAAAAGAGTGAGGAAAAGTGAATGGAGGCTAAGGGAACTGTGGGACAGCATCAAGCCAACCAATATGTGCATTATAGGAGTCCCAGAAGGAGCAGAATGAGAGAAAAAGGCACAGAAAGAATATATGAGAAAATAATGGACAAAAACTTCCAAACTGTAACAGAAGACAATAACCTACCCATCCTAAAAGGTCAACAAACTCCGAGCAAGAAAAACCCAGAGATTAGCTCCCAGAACGTTATAATCAGACTCTCAGAAACCAAAGATAAAGAGAGAATCTTGAAAGCATATAAGGGATTGTTAATTAGATTAAATATTCATTTCTCCTCAGAGATCATGGAGGCCAGAAGGGTGTGGGAAAACATATTTAAAGTGCTGAAAGAAAAGAATTGTTAATCAAGAATTCGATAATCAAAACTGTCCTTCAAAACTGAGGGTGAAATGAACACATTCCCACATAAACAAAAACTGAGGGAGTTCATTTCCAGAAGACTTGCCGTTATAGATAGGATTGTATTCCCAAAAAATGTGTACTGGAATCCTAATCCCTTTCATTGTGGATGTAATCTTATTTGGAAATAAAACCAAGCCAAACTCACTGCCACTGAGTCGGTCCTGACTCATAGTGACCCCACCTTGGGTTTCTGAGGTGGTATCACTACGGAAGTAGATCACCCAGTCTTCCTTCCGAGGAGTGGCTGGGGGGTTTGAACCGCCAGCCTTCTGGTTAGCAGTCAAGTGCCTTAGGCACTATACCACCAGAGCTCTTTATTTGGAAATAAGGGATGTTAAATGTAATCCTCATGAAAGCCAAGAAGAAAATATCTGGAAAATACATAAAAAAAGGGAAGCTACAGTAATCAAAAAGCCTGGTACTGTATAATGATAGACATATAAACCAATGGAAATATGATTGAGAGTCCAGAAATAAACCTGCATATCTCTGATCAGCTGATCTTTGGCAAGGGTGCTAAATCCACCCAATGGAAAAAAATAATAGGCTTTTTAATAAATAGGGCTGGAACAACTGGATTTCTACAAACAAAAGAATAAACTTGGACCCATACCTTCCACCACATAGGAAGATTAATCCAAAATGGATCAGAGTAAGATATAAAACATAAATACAGGGATAATACTTGGGATCTAGTTTTCAATAGTAGATATTTAGATATGATACTGAAAGCATGAGCAATAAAAGACAAAATAGATCAATGACCTCATAAAAAAATTTAAAAAAATTTATTTATCAAAGGACTTTATCGACAAAGTAAAAAAACAACCTACAGAGTGGGAGAAAATTTTGGGAACCATATATCTGATAAAAGTCTAATGTCCGGAAAGAACTCCTATAATTTAGCAACAAAAGGAAACAGGCAAGGACTTGGATTGACATATTGACATTTTACCAAAGAAGAAATATAAACAGGCAGCAAGCACAGGAAAAGATGCTCCATGTTATTAGTCGTTGTTGTTGTTGTTGTGTGCCGTTGAGTCAAAATCACAACGAGATACCATTTCATCCCCACTAAGATGGCTATGGTTTAAAAAAAAAAAAACAGATAACATTAAGTGTTGGTGAGGATATGGAGAAACAGGAACTCTCATCCATTACTGGTAGGTTTGTGAAATGTTACAGCCACTGTGGAAAACAGTCTAGCAGACTCTCAAAAAGTTAAACATAAAAGAATTACCATAAAATTCACCAATTCTACTTCTAGGTATAGACCCAAAATAATTGAAAGCAGGAACACAGAGATTCGCATATGCTAATATTCATTGCAGCACTATTCACAACAGCCAAAAGATGGGAACAATGTAAGTGTCCACCAGCAGATGAATAGATAAAGAAAATGTGCATACATGTAATGGAATATTACTCGGCCATAAGAAGAAATGAGATCCTGATACATGCTTCATGGATGAACCTTGAAAGCACCATGCTGAGTCAGTCACAAAAGCTCAAAGAATATATGTTTTGTTACATATCGACTACACAGACACACACAAAAAATGAATCTATCACCTGGTAATATAAAACAGAAGGGTCCTGCTTGGATCACAAAAGAGACTCTAAGGCCCTCAGCCTATGTCTGTGAATGTCAGGCTGATTCTGGGATCAGACTCTGAAATACTGAACCGAGCCCTTCACAAACCTTGCGGATATAAAGAAGCATAGTAACAGTACTTACTTAGTAAGATTGTGTTCCCGTAATCTTCCTGTGTACTTTCCCTGGAGAAGTCCCTCTGAGCTGGGTCCAGATGCTCCTGCTCCTCCCAGGTTAGAGACATAGCCACATCCTTGAATGTCACCAACCCCTGAAACGACATGAGAGTCCCACTCAGTACTCGGAGTCTCAGGTAGTGCCATCTCTAAGGCTTAGGAAAAGGCCACACTCTAGAGGGTAAAAGAGGAAGGGCTGAGAATCACGTCACAGTCTTGGCTGTTGAGTCTTTACCAGTAAGTTTTGTCTTGACCAGGGAATTTCAAAGTGATCAGGGACAGAGGCTGGCATTCACTTACACAACTAAAAAGCTTTTCCGTGGCCATCTACACTAATTTGGGGTTTGTTGTTGTTGTTGTTATGTGCCATCGAGTCGGCCCCGACTCATAGAGACCCCTCCTTGGGTTTCCGAGGCAGTATCACTACAGAAGTAAGATTGCCCAACCTTCCTTCTGAGGAGTGTAGGAAGAAAATATTTATTTGGGTTATATTGCTGTGATTTCTCAAAATGGAAATCTGATATAGATTAAAATTATACACATAACCAGAAAGTCATGAGTTCCAGTGACGGCTCTCTGAGACAGTTTCTTCATGGTTGAACCAGATACAAATATGTAAAAATGATGAAGGTACCTCACACAAGCATGTGTTCAGTAAACATTATTTCCTTTCCTTTCCCCGCTCACTTCACAATAAGATAATTATCCAACAAGATGATCTTCTGAGATGGCTTATTTGAATTTAAGTTGAACTTTCACAAAAGTTAAAGCCACAATTATTAGAAAAGGAAGGTTCCAAAACTGGTGAAGCAGATGGTTGTTCAGGTCCCAGTGACGGGTCACAAACTGACTCTCGTGCTCACTGACAGGGATCTGTATTGATGTCCTAGGGCTGCTATAAAAAGACATCACAAAGCGGGTGGCTTATAGGAATAGAAATGTATTGTCTCCTAGTTTTGGAGGCCAAATCAGGGTACTGGCCATCTTGACTCTTTCTGAGGCCTCTGAAAGAGAAACTGTGTGGTGCCTTTCTCCAAGCTTCCGCAATCTCCTGGCGTTCCTTGGTTCCCAGCTACATTATCACATGGTGTTCTTCTTCTGTTTTTCTGTGCATTTTCTCTTCTTTTATATAGATACCAGTCATACAGTAATGAGGACCCACGCTCTTCCAGTATGACCTTATGTTAACCTAACTGATAACATCTTCAAAGACACTATTTCCAAACCAGGTCATGGTCACAGGTATTGGGGGTTAGGACTTCAGCGTATCATTTTTGGGGCAAAACTCAATCCGTAACAGAGTCTATAATAGGGTCTATGGAGGCACCTTCTGTCTTTCTGTGTTTCCTTCTGGCCCTCACACAGTAGAACTCATTACCCACCATCTCTTGCTTATCACAGAAAATACTCTGAACCCAATATAATTTGTGAGATACGATATGAGGGGTTGTGGAGAGTACTAATAAGAGTAAAAAGCCTTCTTCCCACCTACATGTCAGATGAGGAAATTAGATGGCCAGCCTCCTCCTTATGCTGCTAGTGGCTTCAACTTCAAATACCCTTCCTTATAATTTGGCTTTATGCTACTCCTTCCTAAATACTAGCTTAAGTTCCATTCTGTCCTTGCTGCTAGCTATGTTATAACAGTAAGAATGAGGTTGGAAACCAAGAGTCAACCACGCCTGAGTCTCAACATTGCTTCTCTCAGACTTCACCCAGGTTAGACAGTATGGTATAGTGAGTAAGGGCATGAATTCTGAACCCAGTTACCTGGATTTGAATCCTTGTTCTCTACTACCTAACCATAGAATGGTAGACAAATTGAATACGTCTTCTAAATTATTCTGATACTTTACCTTTCCTTTCTCAACCCCACTTCCTTTTATTTTAGAAATCTCAGGACTTCAGAGGAATGGATGGACTGTATACCCTTCAAGAGATTCTCTACAAATACTGCTGCTTCTCCCCACAAGGCTTTTAATAAACTGGCCAGCCATTAGTTTGTAATTGTAGATAATGGACATTCCTGGAAAGGAGAGACACAGTTGCAAATTAAGTGTAGACATCCTTCTTGAGAAGCTTAACCAGAAGTCTTCGTATCTCCACATGGAAGGAAGATAGCTGACCCAGTACCTTTGGGCAGAGATAAGACTATGTCCACTCCATACAAAGACAAATGAAGGATCAAAACTTCAAAAGTCTATGCCTTAGATCGGTGGTCCTCAACTGGGAGTGATTTTGTCCCCTAAAGTACATTTGGCAATATTAGACCCATCTTTGGTTATCACAACTGGGCAGGGGGTGTCCTAGAATCTAGTGGGTAGAGGACATGGATACTGTTAAACATACTGTTATGCACAGGACAGCCCCCCAGTGAAGTGCAAAAAGCAACTTAGCCTTTGTTCTTGGTGCCTGACAGCAGGACTACACCTGAGGCTAGTAAGTGGGGGCTAGGCAGAGGAAACACCTGGTGGCCCAATACTGACAGCCTCAGGAGACACAATGTAAACTATCATGACTATGTGGTCAGCCTTAAGGCTCAAGGGCTTCCTGGTCGACATGTTTTTAGGTAGTGAGCACATCCCTGGGACACGGAAGCTCCATGTTGAGAACCCTCCTAGTCCTCACCCTACGCATCTCTTTGTTTGTATCCTTTTTGGCTATAAGAAAACTGTAGTCAATGGGCCTATAAGTTCATGTGAATGATCAGAATTCCCAGGTGTATAGTAGAGCTGACAAGGGGCAAGGTTATGGTCATTACTTGGTCACAGCCAGCTACCCAGAGGGACCGAGTAGTTGATCCTGCGGGCTTGGGACCATAGTCGCAGGGGACATCAAACTCAATTGGCATAACATACTATACAAAACATTGTTCCACCTACTACTTTGGCGAGTAGCGACTGGGACCTTAAAAGCTAGGAAGCTGCCATCTAGATGCAACAACGGGTCTCTCCTCATCAAGAAGAAAGAAGAAAACCAAAATTAATGGAAACAATCACTCCTAGCCACTGGTACACCATCTGATCTGCAACCTATACAACTATGAGACCAGAAGAACTAGATGGTGCCCAGCTACCACTGCCATCCACTTGGAAGGGATGTAGGAGATCCTGCATAAAGAGGGAGAACAATGTGGTACAAAACTCAAAATCATTTGGAGGCAAAAAAAAAAAGAAGGTGGGGACCAGGTTTGCTGGTCCAATGGAGCCTGGTGTAACCACTGAGACTATGGCCCCTAGCTGCCCTTCAGGTCTGGAATTGAACCCACAACTGTGGTTTCCAGCCAAACAAAGTACAGGCATGTGAGTTAAACATTTACCTCAAGTAGATACACGCCCTGGAGAGAACAATCATGGGAGAAGGAAGGGCTGCTTATGCACAGGGAGATAGCTCAGGGTGCAGAAGAGTATGAAGGGATGGACACTGGGAGGAGGTAACTATGGGGAGGAAGTGGGAGGGGAGCTGCTGCATTGTAAATTTTGGTCAATGACATGAGACAAAGTATATGTGAACTGCTGTATGAAAAGTGAATTTACTCTGTAAATCTTCACCCAAATCCTAATTTAAAAAAAAAAAGAAAAGAAAACTGTAGTCATAAGTATGGTATGCTGTCCGTGAGATTCTGTGAGTTGTTCTAAGGAATTATCAGACCCAAAGGGGCAGTAGGAGCCAGCAGGTCAGAAACTAAGGGTGTCATGTAGATTCTCAAACTTGGCATTGGCATCTTGAAAGGGTAGTGGGAAATCAGCCCCCAAGTTGTGGCAAGCAGGGCAGAAGGTTGGGGTGTCATGTGGTCTCTCCAAACTTGCAGCTGGTGTCTACCTACTTGGCAGTCCGAAGGATAGTGTTCTTTTAATTTGTGAGAACTGACCTAGCTCTGAGTGGCTAGGGTCAAAGGCAGCTGGCCCAAAGGACAATGTCCTTCTAACTTGTGAGTTGTGACCCAGCTCCAGTGGCTAGCTCAGAGAGTGCAATGTGGGAAGCTGGTGATGAGGATGGAAAAGCAGGAAGGTGAGAAGTGGATCAATTTCCATCTTTTGGGGGCTGCACACATGCTGATCCTTCCCGTGCAACTGGTGATGAAGGTGGGATTTACGCCTTATTTAACGCGTCCCCCACACAAAGAATTACCAGGCCTAAGATATCAGTAGTGCCAAGACTGAGTAATTCTGCCTTAGATCATGGCTCAAATAATTTTTGCCTGCAAAATGTTTTAAGATTGACTTCTCACATTCACAGTTTTAAATTTTTACCAGCACATCCAAATTATATCTCAGAACCAGAAATGGAGGTTCGGAAGCAAAGAAAAGTGAAGCAAATCAAAGATACAAGGAATTAGTCCAAAAGACTAAGAGACCACATGAACCCCAGTATCCACGACCATGAGACCAGAAGAACTAGATGGTGCCTGACTACCACTATTGACTGCTCAGAAAGGAACCACAATAGGAGGTCCTGTTTAGAGTGGGAGAAAATTGTGGAACAAAACGGGAAAAAAAAAAAAAGACCAGGCTTACTGGTCTGATAGAGACCAGTGGAACCCCTGAGGCTATGGCCCCTAGGCACCCTTCAGGCCTGGAACTGAACTCACCCCAGTGGCTCAACTTTCAGCTAAACAATAAACAGACCAGTGGAGCTCTGGTGGCACAGTGTCTAAGGCATTTGACTGCTAACAAGAAGACTGGCAATTCAAACCCACCAATCACTCCATGGAAGGCTGATGGGGCAATCCACTTCCGTAAGGATTTACAGCCTTGGAAATCCAATGGGGTTTACTGTGAGTGGGAATGGACTCAGTGGCAGTGAGTTTGGTTTTATAAAGTAAACAATAACATCAGAGAAGTATACACTCCTTAGAATAACCGACCGTATGAGATCAAAAGGGGAGCATGTGCCCAGAAATAAAGCTCAGAAGGCAGGAAAGGAAAGGAAAGAAGTATGAATAGAAACAAGAAACATAAGCATAAATAGGAAGAGTGCTGTTACGTTGTGAGGATTGCAATGAATGTCGTCCCCCCCCAAAAAAATGTATGAATTGTTGAATGGAAAATCAATTTGCTCTTCAAACTTTCACTCAAATCACTATAAAAAGTTATTAAAAAAAAAAAAAAAAAAAACCTAGTAATAGAGAGTCCTTCCAGGTATTACCTGATTTTTCCTGTACCGTTTTGAAGGGCCTCTCATACCTCTGTATTTTAACATCTGCAAAATCCAAAATAAGTTTTAAATAAATAAATAAGATGTATGCAAGGATGCACGATTGGACCAGGAATCAAAAGCAGAGGCTGCCCTCCTTATGCTTTGATTGAATCACATAATGTTATAGATGAGGAAACGGAGGCCCAGGAAGTCTAAGTTGTGTCTGGGTGAGGTACAGATGGTCCCTCGAATCTGGATCTATTAACTCCCAGAACAGTGCTTTTTCTGCTTATATCGTCGTGTGCCTCATGTCCATCTTTAAAATGACAGAGGGTGGCCATAGCTAAGATATTCTTTTCAGCTATAAGATTTTATTGGTCTAAAATTGCTGCAAAAAGCTACATTCTAATGGCAAATGTTAGCAACTTCTGGATTACTCACACCACTGCTAACTTTCATTATCCTTGTTGTGGTTAACTGCCAGCGAGTAGATTCCAGCTCACGGTGACCCCCATCTGTTCAGAGTGGAACTGCTCCATTGGGCTTTCCAGGTTTTTCCCAGGTGTCTCTGCAAGGGTCTGGAACCCCCACTTTCAGTTAGCTGTATAGCACTTAGCCAGACTCCTTCAGCCACCCAGGAACTCATATCATTAAAAATAAAACAAAAAGCGAACAGCGTGCTGCAGCGACACCAATGAAGACTTATTCCGACTTGGTCAGTGTTGAAGAACTACTTAAGAGACACAAAGAGAATCTTCAAAGAAATGCTTTTCGAAGTACTGAGAGCCCTCAGACTCTCACTGGAAACCCTACAGCTAATAAAGTCAATCTGCCACTTAACCCAAGTGACAGTCCTCTCCTCCCACCTTTAAAACCAAAATTGGAGAACTCCAATCAACTGTTCAATGGTGTTGATACCCATACAACAAAATGTCCATTTTATTGCCTTCTGTTTTATTGGTTTTAGTAGAAGAGTGATAAGGAGTTATGCAGAGAAATAGGAAAGATTGTCAAGGAAAAATCCACCTCAACTGACATATTGCAACGAACCAAAATCACACATATCTCTTGACCTCTTAACACTATATCATATAGACTCCACAGCAATGAGCTTTAAATGTTTAATTTTCTCCACTGCCAGACAGTACGTAGGCGCGGAGGGTTGCCAAACTGATTAAAAAAAAAAAAAAAAAAAATCTCATTCAAAGTGGTGAGGAATTGAAGTTGAAGGACCCGAGTCCACTTTCCATACTAAATATATCCTGATATCCTTCCTCCCCAAGTAGTCTAGTGTGACCACAGGTCGTCTCACAATGAGGAAACAGTAATCTCGTGTTGGTTTTGTCCTGAAAGGTCTATAACTCAAGGATCATTTCCTGGATGGATTTACCTGTCACGGTTTCCTAGGCAAAGGAAACTTTCAAGCACATTCTCAAGATCAAATAAAATATAGTAAATAAGGGAAGGACGTCTGAAACTCAAAGCATTCCATACAGCTCAATTCTCCACGTTCTCCACCCAGAACGAGTGTAGCACTTCCCACCTGCGGCGCGGTCCCATCCAGCGCTCTCTGAAAAGCCTGCACCACAGCCGCAGCCTCCTCCCAGTTCTCCGGAGAGTGCTCCCGCACCCAGGCCTGGGTCTCCTCCGGCAGGATGGTCAGGAACTGCTCCAGCACCAGCAGCTCCACGATCTGCTCCTTGGTGTGCAGCTCGGGCCTCAGCCACTGACGACAAAGTTCCCTGAGCCGTCTCAGAGCCTCTACCGGTCCAGCCACCTCCTGGTAACGAAACTGCCTAAACTGCTGTCGAAAAGTTTCTGGGTCCTGACAGTCGCCCGGAGGGTCGGATTCCTGACCTCTGAGTGGGTCTTCCTCCACTTTCACTATCAAAAGTCCATCACGCAGGGGCGGGGAGGCGACCCTGGACCTCGCAGCCATCGTCCAGTCTCCTGCCTCAGCGTCATTCCCGCACCACTGAGCGGTCAAGATCGAACTCATCTTTCTTAGGCATGTGCTGACTTCCCAGGAGTTCTGCCTTTGAAGGCGGACCTAACTGGGGTCCCTGCCTAGTGCACGATCAGGCCAAACTAGTTTACACACGGAGTGATTAAGAGGAGAGAAAATTATTTATTGCAAAGCCGTAATGCAAGGAGACAGGGGTCAGTACCCAAGTCTGACTCCTTCAGTGGAGGTTGGGATACAGCTTTTATAAAGTTGAAGAAAGGGACTTATACATATTCATAACAAATTCAGGAATTTGGGCATGAATTAACTGGGGATTGGCTGAGACTTCCTTCGCCTAGGTTTAAAGGGACAGTCCATTTTTAATGCAGTGCGCTTGCGTAGGGGATGAGTCACACCAACTTCCTGTCGTCAGTTTATATGAATTCCGGCAGAGCAGGGGATTTAAGTTCCGAGTAAGTTTGTTCCCCTTTTTCTCACTGCGCATGTGAGCCGGCAGAAACGGTTTTCGAGTTGGTACCGGTTGTTTTCTATGAGTGGGAACCGACTCCAGGGCAGTGAGATTGGCTGTTTTCTGAAAAACAACTTTAAGGGAACATATTAACATACCTATTCATCTGTTTGTCTTTTCCCACAAACATTATGTTGTTGTTCTTGTTATATGCCGTCGAGTTGGCCTGGACTCATAGCGACCCTTCCTTGGTTTCCGAGGCAGTATCACTGCAGAAGTAGGATTGCCCAACCTTCCTTCTGAGGAGTGGCTGGTGGGTTTGAACCACCAGCCTTCTGGTTAGCAGGGAGCTCTGGTAGCATAGTGGCTAAGGCACTTGACTGCTAACCAGAAGGCTGGCGGTTCAAACCCACCAGCCACTCCTCAGGAGGAAGGTTGGGCAATCTACCTCCGTAGTGATACTGCCTCGGAAACCTAAGGAGGGGTCGCTATGAGTCGGGGCCGACTCGACGGCACACAACAACAACAGCAACATTCATCTGTTTGCAACTTGGGTGGGGGATAACAATGGAGCGCTTGTGGGAATTGAGCTTCAATTTGGCTTATCTGCCTACAGCCAAGGTGGTAGGATGGGGGACTGAGCTTTGATTCTGCTGGGCTTCACCTTTAGCTGAGAAAACAGCAAATCCTGCAAAAAGCCAAGTAACGCAACACCCGCCCCCCTCCCGAATAGAAATTCAGGGCTGTCCTGTCCCAAACACAGGGCCCCACCCTGCCTGGTTCGTCTGGATTCCCCCTTTCCACTTCTATTCCGCCTAGGAATCCCGCTAGTGCCCTGACCAAAAAAAAGAAAAAGTGACCCAGACCAGAAGTGCATTACCAAGTCCCTGTGTGGCATAGCGCTTAAGGCGTTTCACTGCTACCCAGAACGCTGACAGTTAAAACCCATCACCCACTCCTTGAAGGAAGACTGGGCAATCTACTTCTCTAGAGATAACGCCTCGAAACGGACTTCAAGGCAGTGAGTTTGGATTTGTTTTGTTTTGTTTTCTCTAGGTGTCCTGGAGGCATGAGATGCGTCTGAGTGGTTTGCAGCAGTAATAGCCGCGCTGGTGGCAGCCTGTCCTGGACCGGTTCATGTAGCTCAAAAAAATAACTGGCTAATATTAATTAAAAAAAAAAAATCATTTTAAAAATTTGGCTAATACTAGGTTTGGGAGAAAAAAAAATTAACTAAGAAAAAAAAATTTAATGTTTGACTCTAACAAAGGTGAGTAAATTGAGGCTTAAAAAAAAAAAAGTTGTGTCTTCCTCAATGTCAAGCCAGCCCCTGGTCACATGGTGAACAAGAGTGTTACAGGCTGGGTTCTGAAATAATGACTAGAAAGTCAGCTGTAGCTCAGAGAGAAATTTAATAAAAAGGTAGTAACCTTGCATGGGTCCAGAGGCAATGCCATGTGTGTCTCCCCAAGCCTTACAGCCTCCCTAGGAGGGAGTAATTTTTTTAAGGCTGAGGTTTGATTTCAAAAGACCTTGTGCAGGCAGGTATACCTAAAATCCTGACCCTTTGGCGAAGGTCAGGAAGGTCAGGAAGCAGAACAAGGTTGTGATAAATTCCTCAGCTTCCTTCAGGCTTTGTACAGTCTGCTGTTTGCCCTTGGTTCGAGTCTTGGTCTCATCTTGGATTGGCCATCTTAGTTCATCAGGTGGCAAAGGAGGGCCAGGGGTGTGCAGGCTCCAAAGCTGGTTAACGCTGGCCACGGAGAGTGAGCTGGAAGACATCTCAAGAATGGCCTGTTATTGTTGTTGTTGTTATGTGCCGTTGCCTCAACTCATAGCTACCCCTCCTTGGGTTTCCGAGGCAGTATCACTACAGAAGTAAATTGCCCTATCTTCCTTCCAAGGAGTAGCTGGTGGGTTTGAACTGCCAGCCTTCTGGTTAGCAGTCAAGTGCCTTAGGCACTACGCCACCAGAGCTCCCATCTTTTGCAGTGTCTCTTCCTTAGTCTCATGATCTAAGGAATGCAATTGGCCTGTCCTGTGAGCTGTTCCTGTCTTGCTTTTATGATCTTAGGAATGTGGTTGCAGGGGACAGGATTCTTACATGATTATGGCTACAAGTATTAGAGTAAGGCAATGTTTAAATTGAACAAGGTTAATATGGAACTCAGGTTAGGACACATATTCATCTCCCAGAAATTCTAATCTGTCTATACTATTACATTTCCCCACCAAAGGAACTTTAGGCCAAAATTCTTTTTGCGAGTGTGGGCGTAGGTCTCAGGTCTTCTGTAACTCCTTCCTGCTAAATGTGGGTGAAGGCCTATGTACACTGTATTGGCTTAAAGTTCCACTACTCTGGCTGTTAAAAAAAGTCTGGGAGATAGCTGTGGATGTAGAGCAGTTTAAAGTTTGGAATAGAATGCCTCTTCACTTTCAACTAAGGTAAGGGGGTGTATGCAATGCAGCCATTGCCCTGGAGTCGGACCCAACTCATAGCGACCCCTCCTTGGGTTTCCGAGGTGGTCCTAAGGCATCTGACTACTAACCAAAAGGTTGGTGGTTCAAACCTACCAGACACTCCGCAGGAGCAAGACTGGGTGATCTACATCTGTAAAGATTTACTGCCTTGGAAACCCAATGGCGATCACAATGGGGTGTCTATACTGACCCAAGTGCAACTCGTAGAAAGTACCTTTTCCTAAAGGTTTAAGGGTATGCAAAGGAAAGTATCCTTTAAAACTAAAGCAGGGAAGTAAGTAGTATTTGCTGGAATCTGCATTAGTAGCATGTAAGGGTTAGGAACTATTGGATGTACAGGGACAGTTATCTCATTTACTGTGTTTAAATCTCGCACAAATAAATAAGAACCATCAGGTGTAGTACAGGAAGGATTGGGGTGTTACAAGGGGACTGTCCATGCTTTATTAATAAATTGGATTAGAACAGGTTTCATTCCCTTCATGGCTTCAGTTTTTTGGGGTATTCTGTGGATAAGATGCCCCGGGACGTAAAGCAAATCTTACAGATTCTATATCTTTTGCTCTACCTAGTTTTGAAACATCCCAAACCTCAGTTAACATTCTGGGAAAATTTCTGGAACTTGTTGGTCTGTTTCCCTGATTGCTCTTAGCAGGTAAGGTAAGTGATCTCTTCCATGGTCTATCTCTCTCTGCACAGATTTTCCTAAAAAGACTTCAGTTCCCAGTTTACACAGGAAGTTTTGGCCTAACAAAGGGATTGGGCATTCAGTCATATAGGCAAAAGAATGGTATATTATTCTATTCCAAATTCTATAAAGTAGAGGATGAGTCAGAAATTTGGTATATGAGTTTCCTTTGACTCCCCTAATCGGACATTCCCGCTTTGAAAGTGGGCTGAGGAGTTCAGGAAAAAAGAGAAAGACATCCCAGTATCTAACATAAATTGCATAGTCTTACCTTCCCAAGGCTCCGTCATGATGATGATAATCCTTTGGTGTTCAGCCAGGGTAGGGCAAACCTCGGGGCATCCTCAATATTGAAAGGGCTCTGTCAGATCCTTGGTAGCGGCCAGTAGAGGTTTAGCAGGCGGTCGGGGGTCAGCGTTGCACCCTAGTCTAGGATGCTCCAGACACTCCCTGTGCCAGTGACCTGTTTTTCTTTCCTGTGCTGCACTGATCAGGCTGAAGTCTGGCTGCCCCTCTTCCCAGTCTCTTGTGATGTAAGTTCTCTTTTCTTTGGCCTGTTCAAAAGGCTTACCTTGAGGTGGACCTTTAAGTGGCCAACCTAAAGCAGTAGCCAATAACTGGGTCTGTTTCTCAGCAGTTGATTGGGCTTGTTTCTCCATCTTCTTGTCCTCCTTTTCCTCCTCTGTCCATTCTCTATTAGCAAAAACTCTGTTAGCATCTTCACTAACGTGGGAAAGGGGAGTCTCAGGGCCCAGTTCTCCCTTTCTTAGGTTTTTTTTTTTTTTTTGGTGAATCTTACAAGTAGCCTGTGTCATGCAATACATGGTAAGTAAGTTTCTCCTGCTTCTAATTCTGCATCTATATTGCCATATTTTCTAAAAGTTTCCGTTAACCTGCTAAGGTTAACCCTGCTGGGTTTTCGTCCTTTCCTTGAGTTACTTCTTTATCATAACTTATGGGTTTGAATATATATTGGCACATTCCTTTAAGCTAAAGTTAATTTCTAAAATTTTCAGGTTTTCAGATAAACTTCATAATTTCTCTTTACACTGACTCAAGTCTGATAATGAAAAGGGAACATGAATTTTTAGCAGATTGCCACTGAGCACTCCTCTCACTGGATACATTCCTGTCTCTGGTGCCTGGGGGTAGTTGATGGCTCTCGGTGGCTCTATCTTGGTTCTAGATCACAGTCCCTTCAGGGAGGGGGAGGGTGTGCTAGGTTCTGAAAGGACCATAGACAGAGAAGGATATAGACTAGGCCTAGGAGCTCCATCTAGTGGGTTTTCTGGCTAGGGAGGGGGTGGTGGTGATATGATGATTGACCTCTAGAGGGGCTGGTACTGCTATCTGGTAGTTGGGGGTCCACTTACACTATGTGTCCCTCCCACAGTGTAAGCTGGATTGTGATAGTTG